ATACACCTCAAATAACCCCGTAACCCTAAACCTTACCCCGTAACATACCCCATGCAACCCCTATGACTAATCAAAGGGATCCTATATAACCGCGATGAAGCCCCTTATATCCCAATGTAATCCCTTGACCCTAAGCCCTAAACCCTGCACCTGAAACCCTGAACCCGAAACCCTAAATCCCACATAACCCCCATATAACAGGCACTTGCCAAGCTTCGAATAGCTCGGGGATGTCGCAGTGAAGACATGGGTCCCCATGTCATGCTCCTCGGCTTAGGGCTTGGGGTTGATGGTTTGGGGTTTAAGGTTTAGGGTTTGGGGTTTTGGGCTTGGGGTTTGGTGTTTGGGGCTTAGGGTTTGGGCTTTCGGGTTCAGGTTTAGGGTGTGGGGTTCTGGGCTGTAGGTTGGGTACTGCCCCCGCCCAGTAGCAGTCTATAATGGGAGTAATATTAGTATGGGCTGTAGAATGTTGTCTGTAATGCCCTTATCAGAATGACTTGGAGTTTAGCGCTTGGCATTCATGGTCTTGGGCTCTGGGCTTTCGGATTTTAACCAGGTACCTTCGGAAACACGCGACTCATGATATTTCTAAAGGGTAACCACAGATGACAACACATGTGGATTGCATTCTGCGACCTGGTGATGGCCTGCGCGTTGTCCTTTCTCTTTGGTGCCCGCAGCCGCAATCAGAGCGCTTGTGTATCCTGCCGTTAGCGACACTCTAGGGACCCCTGGCCACACACAACATCTGAAGCACTAAGGGCCCTTGCAATCTCCGTTTAGCGCCATATATCCCGAAGGTCCCTTCCGCACACCTGAACCCTAAGCCATAACCGCAACAAACCCTAAACCCTAAACCCTAAACCCTAAACCGCAACAAGCTTCCACAGTCCGAAGACAAAAAAGGAATCAGGTGAAAATCCTCATCCTTTCAGGGTTTAGGGTTTAGGGGGCATACCGTGTTTTAATCACCTCCCCACAATAATTAACCCCCACCCCCGAATAATTCAACTTTCCACCCCCAAAAATGTGAGAATTTGGAGATGCGGCATTCTCAAGGGGGTTGTTGTGTAGGGGGAGGGGATTAAGCTAAGGGGAGGGGATAGGGTTAGGATGCAGGTTTCGGAGTGGACTTCATGTTTTGGAAGCGGTGGGGTATTGTCGCTTCTTCCCTATAATTACAAACTCATAACACACCATATCAAGGAAACTACTCTACGGGGGAGGGATGTACATACACAAGCACACACACACACACACTCACCGATGTTCGTCATGAAGCCTATATACACTTACCAGAACCAAGAACAAAATTCTGTCTCGTAACGGCATTGTACATGCTATCCCAATGCTAACTGAGCTCGTCACCAGTCCTCGAAGGGGTTACTCACAACGACAATCCCGCAAACACATGGCCATAAGCATCTCTGCAAGTCAGGGAGCTGGGTGTTCTGGCAGGTCTCGATCTACTTTGTATGCTCCTGGTCCTGTCACCACACCGAGAAGCTTCTAATTAGCACGTTCATGGCCTTTGGCCCAATTGTAGACGTTAAAGGGGTAAAGGTTTGGGACATGAACTTGTAGGCGCACGTGCAATGTCTCAAACCCTAAGAGCTTGCATATCCCAAATAGACTCCAAGTTTTGCAGCCCTGGCCGCAGTGCTGTATAATTATCTGCAACACCCTCAGACGCGCACGTACTCCTCCAACCTATGTCAAGCCCAGTTTTGTGCTATCCCCCAGTGTTGGAAATAATAACAATAATACTGACAACCAGAAAACTTTCAAGAGGGTTGCCTTAACTCAAGACTGGGTTGCTGTTAAGGAACTTAAATTAAGTTACCATAATGGGTATATATTGTAAATAATAGGGTTTCCCTAATATAGTAACTTAATTTGAGTTCCTTAACAGCAACCCAGAAGAAGCTTGGATCCCAGTGTCTTCCCGAACTCCGAGGATACAATTGCAGTGTCCTGGCAGCTTCGCGTTCTGCGGCTGCCTGAGAAACATCCCGACACAAAGACACCGCACACGTACAGGCACATTCTGTTGAGAAGAGCTACAGGGCCCTATGCAAACTGCGGGAAACCAGAACAGCAGCCTATCTTATCCGAACTCTTGCAGGCCTGTTATATCTACGATCCAAAGTTTGAATCGCGGCCGTGGCTCATCTCAGTAGACATTCCGTAGCCAAAAGCTCCATGCCGTGTAGTCATCATTTAGCTTTCAGCTCCGAGGTTTATGTGTATCAGGTTGCTGGTTTACAGGTTTGTGAGGCTCCGAGCTTTGGTCTTAAGGTTTCCGGTATCCCTGAGCCGACGCCTTATAGCATGAAGGCAGCGCATAAGGGATGTTGTAGCTCATAGTGCCCACCCCTGACGGCTTTCGATCTTGAGACGAAGTCTGAACTGCATCCGTACTCTTCCTGGCTTACTGTTAAAGAACTTAAACTAAGAGACCATAATATGGGTATATAGTATACAATAGGGTTGCCTTATCATGGTAACTTGATTTAAGTTCTTTAACAGCAACCCAGGTTACAGCAGTCTTTAGGATTGGACGAGGCATAGTGGGCGGTGGGTCCATTGCACGTACTGGAGCCAGGGGCACATGTCAAAAGAGACATTGACACATACGTGCACCCACGCACATGCGTGCACCCACACAGATGTATATGTATATATCTATATATGTATATGTATATGCATGTATGTATGTATGTATGTATGTATGTATGTATGTATGCATGTATGCATGTATGTTGTCTGTATGTATGTATATTGATCCCGGATCATAGGCGTCTACCCCTTAATGGAGAACCAAATCGACAAGAACAGGGAAAGTGACATGGATACTACTGTTTAGGGTTCAGGGTTTAGGGTTAACGGTTTTGGAAATCTTCCCTTGGCTTTGCGGCTAGGGCATGCAGCTCTTTGCAGCCGAAGAGTCTTCCAACGTGTGTCATTCCCGATTTTATGCGTGACGAATCCTTGCCGCAAACAAAATGCGCTGCGTTGGGTTTAGGGTTTAGGGTGTCTGGCGTGGTAGCTGACTAGTAGGGAATGGAGATCCCTGTAGAACCCCTTTATGACCTTACACTCATTCATTACACCAACTCAGCTGATTGTTCCGGGTGACGAACTCCTACTAGAGCGCGCGCCAGAAGAACTGCATGTCGCTTGTGAAGGGTTTGGGGTCCTTTTGGGGGTTCACGGGGTTGAGTAACTTATAACTAGGCCTAGGCTTCTGATCCTACAATACTTGGGATAACCCCTAAGGATCCATCAAGGGGGAGTTCACTTAGGGTTATAAGCCCGGCTATATATATGTAGTTATTACGTCCCATGAACCTCCAGGTATGGCTGGAAAAACCTGGGGTTGAGGGCTTGGGCATCAATGCCGGGGCTTATTTGATTAGAATCCGGTTTGGGCACAATGCAAGCATGGGGTCATGTGCAAGCGCGCGGTGTTGCAGCCATAAGGAGCCCTTTTACCTGCAATGTAAACGGACATCCTTCGTCTCGGAGCGACACGGAATCATCTGCAGGCGTCCATGAAGCCAATCAGAATGCCCTTTAAACTTTTCGGCCCATCAGCTTGAAGCTCTACACCCCGAAACTGGGTTGCTGTTAAGGANNCCTTAACAGCAACCCAGGAAATCCCAAGCCCGAAGATCTTCGCAATTTCCCCAGGCAGTCAGGCGGCGCTTGTGCTCGGAAAAGTTGTTCAACCAGGTGCCGACTTGATGGCACTCCTTGGGATGGGGGGGTCTAGGGTTTAGGGT